GTCCCACCAGTGCACGTGACACACACGGCATCCCACCAGTGCACGTGACACACGCAGCGTCCCACCAGTGCACGTGACACACGCGGCATCCCACCAGTGCATGTGACACATGCAGCGTCCCACCAGTGCACGTGACACACACGGCGTCCCACCAGTGCACATGACACACGCAGTGTCCCACCAGTGCACGTGACACACGCAGCGTCCCACCACTGCACGTGACACACGCGGCATCCCACCAGTGCACGTGACACACGCAGCGTCCCACCAGTGCACGTGACACACGCAGCGTCCCACCAGTGCACGTGACACACGCATCGTCCCACCAGTGCACGTGACACACGCAGCATCCCACCAGTGCACGTGACATACGGCGTCCCACCAGTGCACGTGACACACGCAGCGTCCCACCAGTGCACGTGACACACGCAGCGTCCCACCAGTGCACGTGACACACGCGGCATCCCACCAGTGCATGTGACACATGCAGCGTCACACCAGTGCACGTGACACACGCGGCATCCCACCAGTGCACATGACACACGCGGCATCCCACCAGTGCACGTGACACATGCAGCATCCCACCGGTGCACGCGACACACGCAGCATCCCACCGGTGCACGTGACACATGCAGCGTCCCACCACTGCACGTGACACATGCAGAGTCACACCAGTGCACGTGACACACGCAGCGTCCCACCAGTGCACGTGACACATGCAGCGTCCCACCACTGCACGTGACACATGCAGCGTCACACCAGTGCACGTGACACACGCGGCGTCCCGTAAGTGCACACTGGCCAAAGCCCCCAGCCACCCGGGAACACACGACCAATCAGGACAAGCTGGACATGAGGAGGGGCTGCGCATGGGGCCAGGCCGGTGATCGTCTTCCCGGTCCTTCAGAAGCCGCCGAGCTCCGGCCTGCAGCCAGCCCCACCAGCCGCAGGCTCAGCGCACCGGCTTGTCCCGTGCACCGTGGCTGGCAAGGGCCCGTCCCCACCGGAGACGGGTTCCATCCCCAGTGTGCCCCTGGCTTGTGCTCTCCGGGGGGCACAAACTTACTCATTCAGTCTGTTTAACCATCTTTCAGTAGTCACGCAGACTTTTCCATTCCACATGTCGCTTTGGGAGCAACATGCGTCTTGATCAGTGAGGCTCCTCCCATTGCCCCCCCAGCACTCACCACCCCACTTCCTGACCAGCTTGCCGGGCTCACCTGGCGCATGGTCCCACAGGCCTCTCCTGCCATGTGCGCTCAGCACTGAGTGCCCAGGGAGCAGATGGGACAGAGCTAAGGGTGGTGGGGGAGGGGGTGGGGGCTGGAAAACCAGGAGGCCTCAGGCACCCATTGTGAGACCGCTGGATGAAGGAGGTCTCTGTGCTGATGGAGGAATTTTGGCAGAATCGAATTGCATAATCTCCACCGCCTACAGCAACACTATAATTATGCCTTTACCACGGCTGAACTTCACCATATGTTACGGATGATTCCTGTTCTATTGCAATGGTAGAAAAAAGAAACAATGGAAGGTTTGTCTAGAAGAATTACTACAGTGCATCCACATGTTGGAATGCCATTTATTGATGGCACACAGTAATGAAACTATACAATGTGTGCAGTGCACGCACAGAATGGATAGATGATGCACAAAGCACACTGAAAAATAACACAATAATTGCCTTCAGGAATGGGAAACAGATTTGCTTACTTCACCTCACACAGTATCTGTGTGCCCTTCTTGTAATAAAGACACTTTACTGATATAAAAACTATAGCACTGAGGAGAGGAAGAAGACCCAAGACATAATTTTGAAGTATTTCTTTTAGCTTGGTGATGAACAAAATCACCACATATTTATTGAACAAATGTTATTGAAGCATGGGGCTGGTGAAAGATGGGGAGAATTAGGGAAGGAAGACATTGATCAAGAAGCACTGTACTCTTAAACTGGCAAGTTGAATTGAAACCCCTTGGTATGGTTGCCTACGGGCATCCCTAAGCAGGTGCTAATAACCGGTGTGTGGTCGCAAATGTCTAAAATATATCACCTGTCTCTCATCTCAGCACCCAGCAATGGTCATAAAAAGGCAAACAGCAAAACTCCCTGGGAGAGAGGACAGAGGAGGAAGCCTGGAATGCCAAGAGCTCCCTGCAGACAGAGCACAGGGCCCGTGGATGTCCTGGAGGAGAAACAGGTCCCCACCCGGGAGGAGGGAGGGAGATGAGGGAGAAAGGCCTGGAGCCCAAGGAGGAAGGTGGAAGTGGTCACCTTCAGGGCTCTTCCTCCAGGGAGGTGGAGCGCAGGTAGCTCAGAGCAGCGGAGGAGGGCTGGGCTGGGCTGGGCTGGAAAGTCAGCCCGTTGTAGAGTTGGGACATGCCACAAGGGGGCAGTCAGTCAGCTGCAAAAACACACCATGATCCCCTAGCAGGGTGGGTGAGAAGGGAGCAGGACCTCCCGGAACTCTTGAGGTGGAAGGTTCTGGATTTGGGGAGATAGTTCAGAGGCAGAATGCTGCCTACAATTCAGAACTTAAGTTCTGGCAGCTTGTGATTGATCTCTCATGGTCAATAAGGTTCACTGATTTAAGAACACCACGTCTCAATAGACAGTTTTGCAGTCAGGAAGAATGACAAACACATCATCCAAGCAATCACAGAGGCAGTCAGAGTCATGGAGTGAACACCCCTTCCGGTAAGGAGGTCTGCCAGAGGTTGAAGGTGAGGGCTCAATGTGTGCCCAAACATGGGTCAAATATTATTCTAAATGCTTCTGGGAGGGTGGGCAAAGCAAATGGTAATCCCAGAACAACTAGAGCTATCGAGTGCAGCCATGTTTTAGGGATTAATATGTGAAAGTCCACTCTTTGGGTTGCATACCAGCAATAAGCATCCAGAACACGGAGAAAATACTCAGATCCAATGCAAGTGCGGGACTCAGGCACTGAAAGCTACCACATGTTGCTGAGCACAGCTGCAGACACGCAGCTCACACTCCCTGGGAGCCACACACTGAAGGAGTCGTTTTTGCCGCTAACCCCAAGGAGTGGAGTTTCCAACCCATCTGCAGAGTTGACGCAGGCTGCCTCAAAATCCAGCGGGGTGCTTGGCAGAACTTGACCAGCTAACCCTCGAATTCATGCAGAAATGCCACAGACACAGAACGCCCAACACAACGCTGTGAAATGACAAGACCCCAAATCCACTTTAGAGCCACGCCAGACAACAGCGCCACACTAGACAACAGCACACGCCAGACAACAGCACCACGCCAGACAACAGCACACGCCAGACAACAGCTCCACGTCAGACAACAGCACACGCCAGACAACAGCACACACCAGACAACAGCTCCACATCAGACAACAGCACACGCCAGACAACAGCACACGCCAGACAACAGCGCCACGCCAGACACCAGCACCACACCAGACACCAGCACACGCCAGACAACAGCACACGCCAGACAACAGCACCACGCCAGACAACAGCACACGCCAGACAACAGCTCCACGTCAGACAACAGCACACGCCAGACAACAGCACACGCCAGACAACAGCGCCACGCCAGACACCAGCACCACACCAGACAACAGCACACGCCAGACAACAGCACACGCCAGACAACAGCACCACGCCAGACAACAGCACACGCCAGACAACAGCTCCACGTCAGACAACAGCACACGCCAGACAACAGCTCCACGTCAGACAACAGCACACGCCAGACAACAGCACACGCCAGACAACAGCACACGCCAGACAACAGCGCCACACTAGACAACAGCACACACCAGACACCAGCACCACGTCAGACACCAGCACCACACCAGACAACAGCGCCACGCCAGACAACGGTGCCACGGGCACAGGGTGGCACTGGGGGAGACAGATAGGACCTCACTGGCCAGAACAGAGAAACCGGAGACACGCTTTTTTCCAGAGGGACCGGCAGTCCACACCGGGCAGGAGTTCAGTGGGGAAGCAGGGAAGGCCTACCCACGGGACGGTCCTGTGGCACAGCACAAAAGCAGCTTCCAGTGGGTGGAGAACTGGAGACGGGGCGGAAAGCCGGCTGGTAGTTCTTAGGACCCTCACCTCCTGCGGTGCTGTGTAGACTCACAGGAAATGAAAACCTGCTCCCTCCCGCTGGGGAGGCTTCCAGGCAGACTGCTCACAGCTGCTCCCTCCGGGGACACAGCCCAGCGCTCACCCAGGTGAGCCAAGGAGCACAGGAGTGGATACTCTCCCACCACGGAAAGGAACAAGGCTCTGATGCCACAGCCAGTGCTCCCCAAGACGTCACAGGGGGGGGGGTCACAGGGCTCTGGAGGGGGCGCAGGGCCCAGGGGGTGGGTCACAGGGCTCTGGAGGGGGCGCAGGGTGGGGGGGTCACAGGGCTCTGGAGGGGGCGCAGGGCCCAGGGGGAGGGTCACAGGGCTCTGGAGGGGGCGCAGGGTGGGGGGGTCACAGGGCTCTGGAGGGGGCGCAGGGTGGGGGGGTCACAGGGCTCTGGAGGGGGCGCAGGGTGGGGGGGTCACAGGGCTCTGGAGGGGGCGCAGGGCCCAGGGGGAGGGTCACAGCGCTCTGGAGGGGGCGCAGGGCCCAGGGGGGGTCACAGGGCTCTGGAGGGGGCGCAGGGCCCAGGGGGGAGGGTCACAGCGCTCTGGAGGGGGCGCAGGGCCCAGGGGGGGGTCACAGCGCTCTGGAGGGGGCGCAGGGCCCAGGGGGGGGTCACAGCGCTCTGGAGGGGGCCCAGGGTGGGGGGGTCACAGCGCTCTGGAGGGGGCCCAGGGGGGAGGGTCACAGCGCTCTGGAGGGGGCGCAGGGCCCGGAAGGCGCGGCCGCGCGGACCTGGGGCGGTGCCAGCACCCTGCGCGGCGGCGATAGGTCCCGCCCGCCGGCGACCCGCGGGCCGGGGCGGGGAGAGGCGGCGGCGGCGGGCGCGGGCGCGGCGGGCGGCGCTCAGGCTCCGCGGCAGCGGCGGCGGCGGCGGGATGTGGGCGCCGGGCGCCCCCGCGGGCCGGGACCGCCGCAGGGTGGGCGCGCGGCTGCGCGCGGCGCTGGCCGGGCTGCAGGAGCTGCGGGGGCTGCGCGCCGCGCACCAGGCGCGCGTGCGGGGCGCCCTGGCCACGCATCCCCAGCGCGGGGCCCCCGACCCCCGCGGCGCCCGCGGCCCGGAGCTGCGGCTGGAGGCGACGCTGGCCGCCCTGCAGGAGCAGCTGGTAGGGGCCGGGTGCGGGGCCGGGCGCGGGGCCGGGTGCGGGGCCGGGTGCGGGGCAGGGGCGCGGGGCCGGGCGCGGGGCCCGGGCGCGCGGCAGGGGCGCGGGGCCCGGATGCGGGGCTGGGGCGCGGGGGCCGGGCGCGGGGCAGGGGCGCGGGGCCCGGACGCGGGCCGGGCCAGGGTGCGGGGCGCGGGGCAGGGGCGCGGGGCCCGGACGCGGGGCAGGGGCGCGGGCCGGGCCAGGGTGCGGGGCGCGGGGCCCGGACGCGGGGCAGGGGCGCGGGGCCCGGACGCGGGCCGGGCCAGGGTGCGGGGCGCGGGGCAGGGGCGCGGGCCGGGCCAGGGTGCGGGGCGCGGGCCGGGCCAGGGTGCGGGGCGCGGGGCAGGGGCGCGGGGCCCGGACGCGGGGCCCGGACGCGGGCCGGGCCAGGGTGCGGGGCGCGGGGCCGGGACTTCCGAGCGCGGAGCTGGGAGCTGGGAGCGCGGCGCCTTCCGGAGCGGAACGGAGCGGAGCGGCCAGGCCCGCGCCCGCGCCCCGCGCCCGGCCCCACCTGCTGCCCGCGGGCGCGCAGAGCGGGACCTCGGGTCGTGGGGTCAAGCTGCTCCTCTGAGGGCTTCGGTGACTCGATTTCCCCTCGCCCCTCCCCCGCCCCGGCCGGGCCCGCGGTGTGCTGGGTTGGGGACCCCGCCGGTCCATCTCGGTGACTTGTTATCAGAGCTGCAAACCAGGGCCCGTGCCGAGCCTGTGATCCCAGCTCCCCAGGTTCAAAGCCAGCCCGGGCAGGGAAGGCCGCGAGTCTCTGATCTCCAGTGAACCACCCAAAAGCCTGGACGTGGTGCTGTGGCTCAGGTGGTAGAGCGCCAGCCTTGGGCCAGGGACAGCGCGAGGTCCTGAGCTCAAGCCCCAGGACGGACACACAAAAGCTCTTTCCAAATCTGGCCTGAGAAGAGGTGGAAAGGGGGCCCCTGATGCTCTCCACTGTCTTCTCTGTCCCGGCCCGCCCGCCGCGGGGTGAGGAGACCCACAATTACTCCTGTGCCTCTTACTTCAGGGGGTAATTTCATGTAACTTACTAGAGTCAAAGAAAGAAACCTGGTTTATTACATTTTTTGCAATGCTGCAATTTCTTAGAAGAAAAAGAAAATGCTATGGACGCCTTTGAGTCATCCGTTCATCTGTGAAATTTTACAATAGGCATTTAGATCTGTCCTGTTTTTTTTTTTTTTTAAGTGGCAGCAAGTTGCTAGGTGAGGCTGTGCGTTCCTCCGGGCTTAGCTCAGTCCTGCTGAGGAGGGGAGGGGAAGGGAGGGAGTCAGGAAGTGCGGGTCTGGAGGAGGCTGGACTCCTGCTACCTGTCCCACAGAGGAGCTGGGGGAGGGCCACCGGGCTGGCTGGGCTGGCTGGGGGGCCCTTCACATACCTCCCAGTCAGGTGGCCGGTGTGAGGTGTGGACTTGCTATGCGGGGGTGCCTTTGTGACCTGGGTCAGACACAGCAGCCTGCAGGCCAGTTAGAGGCCAAGAGCGTTCATTTTCAAGGGGCTGGAACCTAGTTGATGTTTAACTTGGCTGCGGTCTTGTACAAGTTGGAGCTGTGAGTATTCAGCCTCTAATTGCAAGTCATCTTTTGGAGGAGATCAAACAGGTTTTTTGTTTAATTTTTTTTTAATGTGTGGAGACCAGAAGGAACACGCAGACTTTGTCTCAAAACTTTGTTCTTGGAATGGATTATGGATCAAAAGAGAAGAATTGAATTAGGGTGACATCAGCCAGCGCTGAACACTTTTACATTTTTCTTGCAGAGGAAAAAAATCCTGAGCAGTGCTAGTTCTTTAGTGCAGAAAGCAATCCCAGGGCTGCAGTCCAGGAACTCCTCCCCTCTGCTCACCAGGTGTGAAGACAGTCCTCCAGTGGGGACACGCTCTGGCTTTTCTAGGGATTTAAGCTCTCCTGGGGAAGGGAAGCAGCTCTCATCAAATGGGTGGCGGCCTTCTAAATGGTGTCTGAAGTTGCCAGGAGAGTGCCAACAGATTCTGTGGGACAAAGGAATGAGCTGAACAAAAAGAAATGATTTCAGTCCTCCCGTCTCCCTGTGCGGAGGCCCCTGGGGCCTCTGTCCCCATATTCTGCGGCTGTCAGTCCTGGGTAGAGCTGACTGAGCCTCACATTTTCAGGGGAACTCGAGGTTCCCAGAAAGCAGCCGCATATCCACTGTGGAAAAGATGGAGCTCTCCCAGAGCCCTTAAGAGGAAAGCCATGGCTCCAAACCTGGCGTTCATCTGCCTTCCACCAGCGGTGCTCCGGCGACCTCTGGGCCTGCAGGGAAGCCAGAGGAGAGCTATGGGGAAATCTCACCCGCAGAGTTTCCCGGTGGCTGCCATGCTGGTCCTGACTCGTTGGGAGAGCAGTGCTCGTAACAGCTCCTTCCCACAGGCTGTAGCTGTAGCTCAAGAACGAAGGCTGCTGAGCAGCCACCCGCTGTGCTCCGCTGGGCCCTGGTGTCTTCCTTGGACCCACTTCGCGCTCTGGGGGACACCTTCTCCCTGGGTCTGAGCCCTGAGCCCTGCCCTTCACTGGGCTTCGTGGAACTGTTCTGCAGGAGGTGTGAAGTCTACTTCCATGTCCACTCCTAGCTCTCGTGTAAAGGGGGGGAAGTGTTAGATGCCATCTCTGAACGCTAAGGCACTGTTAATTTTTGTCCTCTGAACATGCCATTCCGTTTTTTGCTGGGACTGTCCAAAGGGGAAGGCCGCAAACCAGGCCATTTTCTGTGTCCATTCTTGGGAGGGCAGGTTGAGGACGCTTCCTGGGTAAGAGTCCCGCGGTGCGCCAGCCGTGCCCGCCGGCCGTACACCGGCACGGGGATGCCAGCCCTCCCCGGCGGGTTCAGGCCCGTCTCCCGCCACCCCCGGGAGTTGGCCTGTTCTCAGTCCGTGGCGGGTGGAGCGAGCTGAGGGCAGGCAGCACAGCTCTCCGCAGGGCAGAAGCTGTCCTCTGCTTGGAAGTTCAGGAATTGGGCTCTAGGTGGCTATGAACTGTCCCTCCCTTCCCGGAACACAGCAACCGTGCTAGGCACACAATTCTGTAAGGAGGAGTAAGAAGCTCCAAACTGGAGTCGGTGTGAAACACCTGTGAGGTGCTGAGAATCCCGGACACAGGCCCGTGGACAGGGGAGGGGCCGAGGGCCAGCCAGAGTCACCTGGGAATCTCTGTCAGCGCCTCAATGATTAACCAGAAACGGTCTGGAGGCCAGCTGGGCCCGTGCTAAGCCCAGAGAGGCTGGGTCGTGTGCACGCATGCGTGCACGGGTGCTGTTCCACAGCCCCTGCGATGTCCTGAGAAGGAAAGCCGCATCTAGGAAGACCACCTGAGGCCTTAGTGACTCAGTAATTTTTTCCTGGGAGCCTGCGGGTAATTGGGCCGCGTGCACTGTCTGTGCTCTGCGGCACCCGGCGGCACTGGGTCTCACTCGCCTTTGTGAAGGTGTGCATGGTGAAGCCAGGGTGTTTGGGGTGGGGTTGGGGACACGAGGTTGTTCGGGACCGGTCCTGCCTGGCTCACGTCGGCCGCTGATGTTGTGACTCTGACTTCAGACCTCAGAGGTGGCTCCTGGGGGAGAATTTCAGACAGATGAGCCAGTGAGGTCGGCCCCCAGCTCGCCCCGTCGGGGTGGGGCTTGAAGAGATTCCTATCAACAGGAAAGCACCCCATCTGCTTCCCAAGCCTGCCGATTTCTCCATTGAAATCACCAACAGAACTCCCAACAGAAATGTAATCTCCCCCTGGACAAAGCCACTCACACATGGGCCTCTAACTCCCCAGGGGGTGGAGATTGGGAGGTTTGCGTTTGAGGCTAGTCCAGGCACAATTGAATCATGATACCTCACATCAACCAATAAAAAGTTGTGCAAGGTGATGTGTGCCCGTTACCCTGGCTGCACCAGGAGTGTCAATGAGAGGGTCCAGGCTGAACGTGGGCAGAAAGCCAGATCCTCCCTAGAAATAACCAGATGTGTGGCTCAAGTAGCAGAGCTCCTTCCTAGCATGTACAACACCCTGAGTTCAAGCCCTACTTCTGCCAAAGGAAAAGAGCACTTTCTTAAATAGAAAGAACTATATAGTTGCGTCCATGAATTATCTATTCTCAAGCTAATTGTTAATCAATAAATTGGAAAACGGGGGAAACTGTCCAGTTGGGAGAAAGAGATCAGCACATCCTCACTACGTGTATAGTTCAGTATACATTTGACATATGCAATGTTCCCATGCCTGTATCCATGCATTCACGTATACTATAACATACGTGTACATGCATGTATGCACACATGTTCGTAAGAGTAGGTGATGAGTAGACCCAGAGCAGAGGCTGTGGTCTATGAGCAACAGCCCACAGAGGTGTGCTGCAGACTTGGGCAGAGCTGGGATTGTTGTCATGTGTGATCCTGGGGCGGCTTTTCCAGGCAGAGCCGGACTCCCTGACCTGCAGTGCCCGGGCCCGCACAGGGCTGCCTTTCCTAGCACTCTCCTCTCACCTCTGTCGGGTTGAAGCACTGCTGGAAGAGGGAGATGGGAGTCAGGGGCAGGGGTCGGCCTGTCCCCCACCCGAGGACACTCACCCCAAGGGTCACAGCCCAAGGGCAGCTGTGAAGAGCATCACCATACCAACTAAATTCTTACCTGGAAATAAAAGCAAGCAAGTCGGTACTAAGGTCCCCTCTGGTCCGCTACTGAGGTCTGTGTGTGGCCACGTGGCTTCACAAGTCACATTATTCTGCATTCTTATGAAAGAAATTGCAGATGAAGTTTTTAAGTTTCTTGGAGAAAACTATGAATGTGTGTACATGCATATGTTTGTGTGTATGTGTGCATGTGTTCTGGGCAGGGGTCAGAGGACTCTTTTTCCATGAAGTGTATGTGTGTGCATATGCATGTGTGCACGTGTGCATGTGTGTGTGTGTGTGTGTGGTGGGCAGGCATCAATGGACCCTTTCCTGAAGTGTGTGTGCATATGCTTGTGTGTGCATGTGTGTGTGTGTGTGTTGTGGGCAGGCATCAGTGGACTCTTTTCCTGTAGTATGTGTGCACGTGTGTGCACATGTGTGTGGTGGGCAGGGCTAGTGGACTCTTCCTGTAGTGTGTTCATGTGTGTGCACGTGTGTGCAGATGTGTGTGTGTGGTGAGCAGGGCTAGTGGACTCTTCCTGTAGTGTGTGTGCACGTGTGTGCATGTGTGTGTGTGCATGTGGTGGGCAGGGCCAGTGGACTCTTTTCTTGTAGTGTGTGTGCACGTGTGTGCAGATGTGTGTGTGTGTGCATGTGGTGGGCAGGGCCAGTGGACTCTTTTCCTGTAGTGTGTGTGCACGGGTGTGCACGTGTGTGCAGATGTGTGTGCGTGTGGTGGGCAGGGCCAGTGGACTCTTTTCCTGTAGTGTGTGTGCACGTGTGTGCACGTGTGTACAGATGTGTATGTGTGCGTGTGGTGGGCAGGGCCAGTGGACTCTTCCTGTAGTGTGTGTGCATGTGTGTGCACGTGTGTGCAGATGTGTGTGTGTGTGGCGTGCAGGGCCAGTGGACTCTTTTCCTGTAGTGTGTGTGCACGGGTGTACACATGTGTGCAGATGTGTGTGTGTGCATGTGGTGGCAGGGCCAGTGGACTCTCTTCCCTGCAGTTCAGCAGGGGATTGCTTCCCATTCAGGGGCAGCTCCAGCTTCTGGGGCATCTGAGAGTGCAGGTCATACTCACACCTGACCTCACCTCTGGGCTTGGCTCGTTCACTCTCTCTTTCCTCCCCGGCTTAGTCCCGGTTGAGACGGCAGGATGCCGGCCTAAAGACCCACCTGGACCAGCTGGACCAGCAGATCAGCGAGCTGCAGCTGGATGTGTGCCGGCCGGCCTGCGAAGCCCTGGACAGCGACAGCAGGCCCAGCTCAGGTATGGCCAGCGCCCAGACCAGCAGCAGCCTGCCTGAAGGCCCTGCCTCCACGCCCAGGGCCGGCGCAGCCTTTGCCAGGGTGGAGCTGTGCGCTGCCACCCCGCAGACCCCGCTTGACACAGGGAGAGCGCAGAGCCCGCCTCTGCTCTCAGGCAGCGTTCAAAGCCAAAGAACTGGTAGTAAGCCTGGAAACGTGTATCTGATCAAAGAACTCAAAACTGAAATGCGTCTATCTAAGTGTGTTGAAGGGGCATGTAATATACATATGTGTATATTATACATATGTATATACATATACACATACGTAAATTGGGAAACACTGTCTTCTGACGGAACAGAACCCATGAATTTTCAACTCTTCCTGGACCGAGGCAGCTTGCTGGCTCTGTTTATGTTGGATACTCTTGGAGGACATGCGTGCCATTTTATACCCCACAAGAACCTATGGGTATTTAAGCCTGTGTTTCAGTCTGAAGTTTGAGTAAGGTGTCAGAGACTCAAACAAGTCCTTTCCTCTTGCTCACTGCCCTGTCTGGAGGTCCTGGGGGGCGGGGGTAGGAGCAGCGGGTGCGGCTCAGCCGGCCTGGCTCAGGCCCCTCCTGGGGGGGGGAGGGTAGGAGCAGCGGGTGCGGCTCAGCCGGCCTGGCTCAGGCCCCTCCTGCTTTCTATGCCTGTGCAGCACTCGGCAGTGCAGCCCGTGTCTCGGGACGCACGGTTGGAGATGGTTTGCTTGGCCAGCTGCGTGTCTACCCACCACAAGCACTGTCCACGCATTGCTCTGCAGTTAGCTCTGGGCTGGGCACCAAGGCGAGAGACTGAGGGGTCCTGGAGTGTCCCCCTGTGTGCCTGCAGACTCATGTAAAGGCACCTAGGCTGGGGAGAGGAGGGCACTGGGGCCGTTTATCCATGCATGCATGCATCCATGCATGCAGGGCCCAGGGACCCTCGCCACCCCCATTTTGCAGTCAGTGGTCACATGTCCGTGCAGAACCCACTGGCTGAGGAAGGGATGAGCAACCTCGGGTGCAGCTGATCTGACCCACACACACCAGCACAGACAGTTACAGAAAATCCAGAACATTCCTGCCCTAGGCCTGTCCCCAGCCTCCCCTTCTCAGGGCCCCTCACACCTCCCTGAGCCAGCACAAGAGAAAGTGTCCTCTGGATGGAAGGCCTACCCCCTTCTGCACTGACCAGCCTCTGTTGGCTCTGTCCAGGCTTCTACGAGCTGAGCGACGTGGGCTCCTGCTCCCTGTCCACCTCCTGTGCCTCTGTGTGCAGCGACCGCCTCTCCCCATCTCTGGGCAGTTGGCTGCCTGTCTTCCAGCCCTCCAAAGCCAGGCCCGGCATGGGAGACTGGCGGCCCAGGTCTGCAGATGAGACCACGGTGCCAGCCTGGAGGCCCCAGCTCACCAAAGAAGGCGCCAGGCCCTTGGACAGAACTGAGGACGCAGGCCAGCCCTGGGAAGTGTTCCGGCCCAGGCCGGTGTCTACAGGTGAGAGAGTCGGGCAATGATGGGAGAGTCGTGTAGGTGTGGGCAGATGGCAGAGCCATCCCCCCAGCCCCCAGGAGGATGGGCAGACGCACCCCATGCAGCACCACAGGGAGGAGGAGTCAGTGCATCGGCCTCGCTGGCACTGCAGGTGGGCTGCGCCAGGAATCTGGCTTTCTTATTTAAATTGGACATCAGAAAACCTGCAGGTTTAAGTCCGCCAAAGCCCCTAATTAGCAGGGTTTGAAGTCTAGGTTCAAGCAGAGTTTATAGACAGCTCACTTAGCTCCTTCACCTTGTCCTCAAAGGGAAAGATGCCACTTGGGTTTCATTTTATTTCCAACCTAAGGCACAAGACACGAGTTGGGCCTGGGTGTAGCCCTGGTCTCTCTGTAGTGAGAGTTCCCAGATCCACTCCCAGGAGCCTGGGAACCTTTATGCCTGTTCAGATGCAGGCATTGGTCTCTGGAGGCCTCAGGGCTACGGTAATGTGAGGAGCAGAGATGGCTCCTCCTGCTGCCAAGGAGCAGGGATCAGTATGCACACACAGGCCATCTTTGATGAAGGATCAGGGATCAGTATGCACAGCACACACAGGCCACCTCTGACAGAGGAAGAATCAGGGATCACTATGCACACACAAGCCATCTTTGATGAAGGATCAGGGATCAGTATGCACAGCACACACAGGCCACCTCTGACAGAGGAAGGATCAGGGATCAGTATGCACACAGGCCATCTTTGATGAAGGATCAGGGACCAGTATGCACACATACAGGCCATCTCTGGCAGATGAAGGAGAAGGGATCAGTGTGCATGCACAGGCCAGCTACAGCAGAAGAAGGAGCAGGGATCAATATGCACACACAGAGACCACCTTTGACAGTAGAAGCAGGGATCAGTATGCATGCACAGGCCATCTCTGGCAGATGAAGGAGCAGAGATTAGTATGTATACAGACCATCTCAGATGGAGGCAAGACTTGCTGCTTCCTGTGGGAGAGGAAGGATAGGGAACTTGAATTCTCCTTGTTGATCTGTTTATGCATACTTTCCTAGGTGACCTTGAGAGAGTGTTCCCAGTTGACCTGGGGCTCCACGACACTGGCCCAGACAACACCTCTGCCTCCTCCTGCCAGGGGATAGACGTCCCCTCCCATGCCCTGGACCCCACGTACCAATGTGACCTGGTGGCCAGGGGCGGCCAGGAGGTGTACCTGTACCCCAGCCCTCTGCACGCCGTGGCGCTGCAGAGCCCCCTGTTTGCTCCCACTAAGGAGACCCCGCAACCTGTCAGCCAGTCACCCCCCAAGACGCCCCCTTTAAGCTCCCGAAGTCTGAGTGGGACCCAGGCTGGGCCCGCTCACGAGCCAGGCACGGCTGGGGCCTACATCAATAGGCTGCTGAATCTGAGGGGCCAAAGGGTCCCCCAGAGGGGTGTTGTGGGGGTACAGGGGCCCCCGAGATGCAGCACATCCCCCTCCCCACAGCAGCTAGCCGGCCAGCCGTCAGGAAGTGGTGGTCGGCCTGAGAAGCCGGGGTGCACCCCAGGAGAGGGTGCACACAGGATGGCGCGGGGCAGGGCTGCCGGCAGAGACGGCCCCGGGCAGCAGGGGCTCGGGTCCCCCACGGACTCCCTCTCCTCCGACAGCCCCCCAGAGGACAGGCCCAAGCCCTGGGGTTGCTCTGTGGACGGGGAGCCCACGGTGGGCCCCTCGGTCTGCGCCCAGGCTCGGCAAGGCCATGACGACCGAGGCCCCGGCCGCGCCCCATTGCCCTCCGCGGAGAGGAGCCACGGGAGCCCTCCTCTGCCTCCGGGGCCCTTGGTCCGCCCAGCCCGCGCTGTGGGTGACGCGTGCCCAGTGCTGCCGGCCGGCCTCCCACAGCCCCCGGCCATGAGTGTCAGGAGCAGGGCCGGAGACGGGGTGCCGCGGCCCGGGAGGCCGCTGCCAGCACTGCCAGAAAGACACTGGGGCTTCCATGCCGGCCCTGCGCTGCCCCCGGCGTGGGGCCCCCCGCACAGACCCCACGGTGGGGGCCCGCGGAGGAGGCCCGTGCTGGCCAGGGAGGCTCCGGGGCGGTCCTGCTCCGAGTCCACCCTCTACCCTGTGCCCCTCTCCGTCCCCCTGGTGGTGGCCCCCCAGGAAGGTTACCAGGACACTTCCCACGCCTTGTTCCTGGGGGAGGCTGCGCCCCTCGGGGCGGCCTCCAGGAGAAAGCAGCGCCGGTGGCGGTCCACGGTGGAGATCTCAGCTGGGGGCCTCCCTGCCAGCCGCCCGGAGCCCGACACGGGAGCCCCCCGACCCAGGTCCATCACAAGGAAAGCAAATGGTCCCTGGGACCAGAGCAGGCCCGCGCTGGCCCGGCAGGATGCCTGTGCCAGGGGCGAGTCGGAGCCCTGGGAGCCCTCGGCTGAGGGCGCCCATCAGCGCCCCTCCACCATCGCCGAGACCAGCGAGGAGGAGGAGGAGGAGGACGAGGCGGCCAGTGACCACACCACCAACTGCTTTGGGGACCAGGAGTCCAGCAGCAGCGATGTGGACTGCTGCGTCCAGAGCAGCAGCAGCAGCCGCCCAGCCGGCGGGCCCGGGGCCGTGGGGGGGGGGCCGGCCTGGCCTGGGGAGGCCCCCCTACCCCTCCCGAAGGCCTGGAGGGGGGCCAGGCCGCCCCTGCCCCCCATGCCCAAGCTGTGCCGCATCAAGGCCTCCAAGGCCCTGAAGAAAAAGATCCGCAGGTTCCAGCCCACAGCCCTGAAGGTCATGACCATGGTGTGAGCAGCGCGCCTGACCGGGGCACCAGACGTGACCCGGGCTGCGTGACGCCCAGTGTGATGCCCCGCACGAGGGCCCGCGGGGAGAGGATCAGCTCGAGTGCCCCTGCGGACCGGCGTTGGCGTCCGGAGTGACCCTCTGAGGAGCCCCAGGGGCGCCGGCCCCGAACTTGGCTGTGAGCTCTGAGGGCCCCACCCTGGCTGAGATGCACAACCCAGCAGGACGGGGTGCAGACTTCGTGTCTGGGGGCTGGCACCTTCCTGCCCAGCCATCCAGGCCAGCCCTGACCTCCATCCTGTCTTACGCCCCGGCTGCCGGTCTGGGGGCCGGGCTCCAAGTCCTTAAACCACCCACCCCAGCCCCCCGAAGCATCCCCTCCGCACACGGCCTGAATTCCCATGCCATGCTGTGGCCAGCATGAGTCTGCAAAATAAAAGTACCTGCTATGTGCCCTCGCTGTGGTGCTGGTTCTGGTCCTCCCGGTCCCTGTGCAGACGTGGCCGGTTCCAGTCAAGGCCTCATGGGTGTGAGGGGACCCCAGAGGCCAGACTGCTTCCAGTGCAGAGGTTAGCCACGACCGTGTCCATAAAACCAACTTCAAACCCCTCACTCCCGAGGGAAGTGTCCCTCCTCTTCCTCTCTCCACGGAGAAGGGGAGGTGCAGGGAGGTGCACAGTGCTCCACAAGGTGCTCCACACAGGTAACCCCACAGTGCTCCTCACGGTGCTCCTCACGGTGCTCCTCTCAGGTGCTCCACACAGGTGCTCCACACAGTGCTCCTCACGGTGCTCCACACAGGTGCTCCTCATGGGTGCTCCACAAGGTGCTCCACACAGTGCTCCTCACGGTGCTCCTCACGGTGCTCCACACAGTGCTCCTCACAGTGCTCCACACAGTGCTCCACACAGTGCTCCTCACAGGTGCTCCACACAGTGCTCCTCACAGTGCTCCTCACGGTGCTCCACACAGTGCTCCACACAGTGCTCCACAAGGTGCTCCTCATGGTGCTCCACACAGGTGCTCCACACAGTGCTCCACACAGTGCTCCACACAGTGCTCCTCACAGTGCTCCACACAGTGCTCCACACAGTGCTCCTCACAGGTGCTCCACACAGGTGCTCCACACAGTGCTCCTCACAGTGCTCCACAAGGTGCTCCACACAGTGCTCCACAAGGTGCTCCACACCAGTGCTCCACACAGTGCTCCTCACGGTGCTCCTCACGGTGCTCCTCACGGTGCTCCACACGGTGCTCCACACAGTGCCCCACACAGTGCTCCTCACGGTGCTCCTCACGGTGCTCCACACAGTGCTCCTCATGGGTGCTCCACAAGGTGCTCCTCACGGGTGCTCCTCAGGTGCTCCTCACGGTGCTCCACACAGTGCTCAACACAGTGCTCCTCACGGTGCTCCACACAGTGCTCAACACAGTGCTCCTCACAGTGCTCCACACAGGTGCTCCACACAGTACTCCTCACGGTGCTCCACACAGGTGCTCCTCACAGTGCTCCTCACAGTGCTCCTCACAGTGCTCCTCACAGTGCTCCACACAGGTGCTCCACACAGTGCTCCACACAGTGCTCCACACAGGTGCTCCACACAGGTGCTCCACACAGTGCTCCTCACGGTGCTCCACATGGTGCTCAACACAGTGCTCCTCACAGTGCTCCACACAGGTGCTCCACACAGTACTCCTCACGGTGCTCCACACAGGTGCTCCTCACAGTGCTCCTCACGGTGCTCCACACAGTGCTCCTCACAGTGCTCCACACAGTGCTCCACACAGTGCTCCTCATGGGTGCTCCACACAGTGCTCCACAAGGTGCTCCTCACAGTGCTCCACACAGTGCTCCACATAGGTGCTCCACACAGTGCTCCACACAGTGCTCCACAAGGTGCTCCTCACAGTGCTCCACACAGTGCTCCACACAGGTGCTCCACACAGTGCTCCACACAGTGCTCCACACAGTGCTCCACACAGGTGCTCCACACAGTGCTCCACACAGTGCTCCACACAGTGCTCCTCACAGTGCTCCACACAGTGCTCCTCACGGGTGACCCCGCAGTGCTCCTCATGGGTGCTCCTCACAGTGGCACTCATAGGTGCTCCCAAGTACGGGGTGAGGAGTCTTGTGTCTTGGTCCAGGCGGCTTTCTGCTGGGAAGTTCACGCATGCAGGTGCTCCTGTGGCCAGGGGTCGGGAGGACCGTCCCAAAGTCTTCCCGGATCCTGGAGCTCCCTCCCCCACGCCTCGCACACTCCACATACATGGCAGGGACTTTGGAGAGAATCCAGTTCAGAGCTCAGCTGAACCATGACCAGGATTCACACGCGGTGCATATCCCGTAACAAGCAGCTGGTTTGGGATGCAGTTTGAAGAGATCAAGGAGCAAGAGACTGGCTGATGTTCCCTAACAAGGAATTCCTCTGCTGTGGGGAGACTGTGCGTGCCCTGGCAGCCACGGCCCTCCGGGGACAGATGGGCACAGGGGGCTGCCCGGCTGAAGAGGAGCTTGAGGGAGACCCCTGCATGGCTACCCAGCCCCCTCCTGAGGACAGAGCTACCTGCAGTAACCTGGCTGAGCTGGACAGATGCTGGCTGGTGACACTGGCCCTCTCTGTGATACCCCCAGAGCTGGGCCGCAGAGCTGGGGACACCACAATGCGGTGAACCCAGCAGAGCTGGGGAGGACTGAGGTGTGGGTCTCTGCACGGCATTCTCGGTGGCCATCCTGGCCCCAGTTACCCGAGGCCTGCTGCATCCTGGACATGAGCTGCAGCCGCCAAGCCTCAAGGCTCCTGCAGGGCCGTGCCCTGCCTCACCCTCAGGACCCAGAGCTGGGAGTCGCGAGAGGACGCCGGGGTCAGGGAGAGGACAGGATGGTGGGACATGACACAACACCGTGACCGTGAGGAGAGCCGGCCCTGACCAGGCTCTCGTACCCCCCCAGTCACCCCGAGTGCCTGCGAGATGCTCCTGTGGGAAGGAGCAGTCAGGACCTGCTCTAGGAAGCTGGCACGCCCTACGAGGGGGCCTGTGGCAAGCAGTGATTGACGGGACCCTCCAGGCTGTGTCCCCGGCTGCGGCTAGTCCAGATGAACCCTGACATCAGGATCCAGCGTGAACAGGACGGTTAAGGAGTTGATGTGGGCCGAGTCAGGGCCCGCCCAGCAGGCCGCACAGGGTCCCGTCTCCATAGCACGGGCAGCAAGGTCTCTGATGCATGGAGAGCCGCCCAGACCCACCAGGCGAGAACAAGCAAGGATGGTTCACAGGAGCCGGCTCTCCTGCATGCGCAGGGCTGGTCCTGGTAGAAGAAGGGACACATCGAGGAAGTGTCCATTGTTGATTGAGTCCCGGCAGCTGGTGCTGCCTGCCCAGTGGTCGTTCTTCAGAGATACCTCAGGCAGACTGCTGCAGCTGTGGGTCGGAGTTCTGCTTCTACCAGTGGCCCGGCCATTAGGACGTAATGGGGTTTGCGATTCGAGAGGTCTGAGGTCTGGATAGCAATCGTAGCCTCAACCGAGGGCCTGCCCCAGGCCTGGGCAGGTGCGGGGCAGCGGGGACCCCACTGACCTGGGGCGGAACACCACTCACGTCTGCGAGGATGGTGCCCCATCTCCGGCAGAGAGCACATGCCTTGAGCAGCAGTGACAGGTGGCCTGCCAGGCTCTGCAGGCCGCGGCTCCTGCCCCCAGCCCCGGAGGCCCCTGCCTCCAGGGAAGTGTGGGCTGTGGGAGCAGCGTGCGGCCGCACTTCACCTGCCGTCGGGCATCCGCGCTCTACAGAAGGCAGACTCACCCCGCTGTGTGAGCCTCAGGCATGCTGACCCCAGGACTGGAGAACCACGGAGACTGCACACAGCACAGAGGAGGACTTCACGTCGGCATGACTCATCCTCTGCGGGGAACTGTGCAGAAGCCGTAGGAGTCCGGATTAGCTCCCACGCGGACTGAGCAATGTGAGCTAACATGAGATCCCACGCAATCCGAACACTGGGTGCTTGCAGTTTCCTACATGTAATTTAGGGGAAAGAGCAGTGTGTCGGGGTGTTCTCAGAAGCCTGCAGTTGAGAGAACCCCCTTACTTGGTTAAGGTGGGTATTCATGAACTCTGAGGTTTATAGCGCAGCTCTTGGTGGCTGACATTTCTTATCTACTATTATCTTTAACAAGTATGTGTGATTGGTAATTAATATTTACTTAGCACTTTTTACAAAGCAGTTCCCGAAAGTCTCCCTTTGATGCTCGTGGCACTTCCATGAGCTCGGAGAGGTGGCGTTCTGTACAGACACCATATGAACGCTGAAGACCTGAAGTCAGAATGAACAAGCGCCCGGTGCAGATGGCCGGGCACCACTGCAAGGTGGCTGAGCTCAGACTGGGGCCTCGGTTCAAACCCCGCTCTGCCAGCCCTGCTCATCACCGGCAAGGAGGGCGTAGCTCCGTCACCTTCCTCTGCCTGAGTTCTTCTCGTCTGTAATCTCATCTGGATGTTCTAGAGTATTCCATGTATTGGAGCGCCATGAATGAAGATGTCTTCTGTTTTAGGCTGACATGCAGGACTTTCGCTAACGAGCTCTGCAGGCCTGGCATGGGCAGAAACCATTACCAGAGCCCTGGCCCTGCCCTGGCCCTGCCCTGGCCCTGCCCAGTCCCTGCCCTGGCCCTGCCCTGGCCCTGCCCTGCCCTGCCCTGCCCTGGCCCTGCCCTGCCCTGGCCCTGCCCTGGCCCTGCCCTGGCCCTGCCCTGGCCCTGCCCTGCCCTGGCCCTGCCCTGCCCTGGCCCTGCCCTGGCCCTGCCCTGGCCCGGCCCTGCCCTGGCCCTGCCCTGCCCTGGCCCTGCCCTGGCCCTGCCCTGCCCTGGCCCTGCCCTGCCCTGGCCCTGCCCTGGCCCTGCCCTGGCCCTGCCCTGGCCCTGCCCTGCCCTGGCCCTGCCCTGCCCTGGCCCTGCCCTGGCCCTGCCCTGCCCTGGCCCTGCCCTGGCCCTGCCCTGGCCCTGCCCAGTCCCTGCCCAGTCCCTGGCCCTGCCCTTGCCCTGGCCCTGCCCAGTCCCTGCCCTGGCTCTGCCCTGGCCCTGCCCTGGCCTCCACATGAATTTTGTTGTTCACACACCTCTAAGTCTTGCTTGATTGATCCTGCTGATTTAACCAGTTATAATTGCACAGGTGTGCAGCAGACAAGAGCAGGTTTTGGTATCTGTGCCTGATGCTATAAGTCAGGCTCATCACCACACAGACATTCTCAGTGTGCAAGTAGATCTACCACATCCTTAAAACCTTGAACGCTTAAATAACAAACAGAAGGCAGCAGTGGAAGGTAGCGCACCACCGCGGCCACCAGTTCGTCACCACGCACAGCAAGTGTTGCTAAGCTAACTATGTGATGCTTTAAAAAACAGTCCCTCAGAGGGGCTGAGGCCAGTGACCTCCACATGCACTGGCTGTGTGTG